ATCGTGCAAAAAAAAAAAAAAGCTTTTGCAACAAAAACCGCGGCGAAAGACCTTCGTACAACTATAGTTGTTGCAAAAAAGAACCTTGAGAGCATCATCAACAGGGAGATATTTGATACTTTCATTCTGTTCCAGCAAATAAACTAAAAAAAAATCCTTGAGTTTACTACCTCAGCTTCAGTGGCATGTAAATGAATGCTTGGTGAGATTCATTGGACTACGTTTCTATGATTATAACCTTTTCATAACTCTGATCCATATGTAAAAGCAGTGAATCAAAAGTACTACACTTGTATAGATCTAAGACCTTAACCATTAAAAGAGAATGAAAAACGAAGGCAGATCCAAAATAAACTTTTCTAAGGTTATAGTTTTAGATAGAGAACGCAACAAGAGGGCGATGGCCGATGGGTAACAGCACATTACACAGCATTCACATCCACACACCAGCTTCCATAACAGATAAAAAATACCAAATAGCAATTGCACAACAAAATCTCCAAATACTGAAGCAAAAGCAATTGAATCGTCCAAAACAGCAACACACATTCCTAACGAACAAAAAATGAATACCTCTCCAGTTTGGGAAAAACAAGACCTGAGATAGCTTTCATCCATCCACGGCAGGAGATCTCCGATCCAGATCGTCCTGTTTTCTTCCCCCGAAGTCTGAATCTGCTGATTGCTCTGCCTCGGCGCCGCCTGAGGATGCGGCTGGTACTGCTGGGGGTAGTACGGCACGTAATGTTGGTTGTACATCATGGGCTGGTGCATCACCACCGCCGGATACTGCATCGCCATCCACTGGTGCTGATACTGCTGCATCGCCGCCCACTGCTGCTGCTGCTGCTGCATCTGTTGCTGCTGGTTCAAATCTCCGCCGTTCATTGCCTAAATCTCTTTCTCTCTCCGCCGAAGCTCTGAGAGAGTGAGGGTTACCTGGCCCGAGAAACCAGGCGAGCGAGAGAGAGAGGATTGGTTGATGAGGAAGGGTAGTAAAAGAGGAATGTAGGGTGTACACTGAGTGTGGCGATTGTACTCTGACGAGATCCAATCGCGGCCGTTGATGCTGAGGGTTCATCCGTGACCGTTGGTTTCGGAGGGAGGAAGTAGGTTACTTCCGGTGGGCCCCAGTTTCCCATTTTTAGATCTGACCATGATTTTTTATGTGCAGCTCTCATATTATTGCGCATTCCGTATGACGGCTGCAGATACTTTGGTTGATTGATGGGATAAAAGGAAGGAAAAAAAAAAAAAACGATTTTGGTAATTTTTCTTTAAATAGAAAAAAATTATATTCTTGTATTCTTTTTGAGATTTTCTTTCTAGAAATAAAATTAAAAATTGTGTTTGCATTAGATTTGTTTGTGAGGCATTAGTTATTGTGGTTTATTTTATTTTATTTTGTTTTTTAATGTCAAAGTTTGAATAGATTTTATTTCTTTTTTTTTTCCTTGCGTGTGATATATTGCGCAAATCATCTTTTTTGCAAATTTTTATTTGACAAATATATTTCAAAAGATATATAACTGAAGCGGTGATCGATTTTTCCTCCTAATTTTTTGGTGTAGAAGTTTATTGATTGAATCTATGATAAGATTTGTTAGTCATATATTGTAAGTTAATTTATTGGAAGATGTTACGATCTCGTTACGGAATCATTCCGTCAGGGTTGGTAACCGTTAGATCAATTATCTCTGACGGTTACATGATGATCTAACGGTTACAAATTCCGACGGAATGGTTCTGTAACGGGACCTTAGCATTTTTCTTTATATTATCTATCAACTAATTTATTTCAAAATCAAATTGAGAATCTCAATAGCAAGGTCAAAATTTTAAGTATGAGTTCAACTATCAAGGAAAAAAAGAAAAGAAAATGATAACATTATATTGCCGCTGATTCACAATAAATTTTGTAAATGTCAGTGTCTCTCAATCCCTTAGGGGGCGATTGGATATCAACTAGAAATCGGTTTTATTAGTTTTTAACTAGAAAAGTAGAATAACTTTACTAATATTTTATCAGATTTGTATTCAACACTCTATGGGTCCTGCGCCAACACTCTACGGTAGCTTTTGTCTTCCATCACTTCAATTATAGAATAAAATAAAATAAAATGTTGAAGGAAACAATTTTTTAAATGCATTCAACATTCATGGCTGCAAGGAACCTTTTATAAAGTCCATACTACAATTTATGTTTTTTTTTTTTTTTTTTTGGACAGTAGTGCACATTGGGTAATGAGGATAAGAGATGTATGAATAATTTTGATGAACAATTTTTACTTGGAAATAATGTGTGTTAAAATATGTTATACATAAACACACCCTTGTGCAACAGCAATAATAATTCATTTGACAATATATTTTTATTTCAAATATGAAATAACAGTACACACATCAATGGAGATTACAAACACAATACAGAAAAGTCATTTTATTTTACTAAAATAGTTCGAATATATATAACGCAACAATTACCACAATTTCACCAGTACATACGCGACAACAATCTCAATTTCCTCTCCTTCTTCTTTGCGCTGTCATACGTCTTTCTTCGGCCCAGTAGTCGCGAACAACTTGGTCAATTTTGCGAAGGTTACTTTCATCTTTCGCCCTCATTTCACCAGGATATGGGTCAAGCCGTAGGGGTTCGAAAATTATCTTCAAGGTGTCCCATAGAGGCTCAGGATTATTGCTACAGTAATGATATGCTAATGTCCAAACCTGAGAACATATGATATACTCGAGGTACACAATCAAGAATGTAATTTTACCATATTATTACATAACAAATGGAGTTAAGAGAATGTTTATAATACAATATATTTATGAAACAAAAACAAAAGAAAAACAAAAAAAAAAGGAATTGTGGTTCAACTTACGTACCTCAAGTGCTTTCTCCCGAATGTCCTCGTCAAGATAGATGGTTTTTGCGTGTATATCGAAAACACCCAATGGATGTTCTATAAAATATTTAAATGTTCGATACCTTTCTTTCAATACCATGAATGTGGTGTAGCATTCTGTTAAAGTCAAATTCTGGCCAATTTCACTCAAGCACTTCTGCGAATTCTATCAAACGCCATATCTATGTCAAACTCGGAGTTCAACCATTCTGATTGGATGTAATGTAGAAGGATAGAACAAAAAGATTCTTCCGCTTGTGGAACCATCTGTTTGAAAAGCCTTCTCATATATACTGGAAATGTTCTTCCTTTGTATTTGGCAATGATAAACCCCACATGCTTGTAAAGAAAATCAAAATAATGGAAGTTATGCATCGGTGACAACTGAACTAATACATTTATAGTGAAACTCATGTAGGTATATATATAGCCAGAGAAGTATGGAAAAAAAAAATTTACCCCAACATCAACCACATTGACGGTCCACAAAAACTTTTTCCCATGCTTCTAGTCGTACAAGTTGTGTATTACAATTACTCATTCTAGTCGTACAAGTTGTGTATTACAAGTTGTGTAGTACAAGTCGTACAGGTTTTGGACGAGAGGGTCTTGGGATAGAGATAAGATGGAGGATATTCTTGGTGAGGGTGGGGGTTTTAGTAGTCTAGAGATTGACCAGATTCGACAGATTCCCATTCTGGAGGGAGGTTTAGATGGCATGAGGTGGAGACTTACATCTTCGGGTGCATTCTCTACGTCATCAGCCTGGGGAGATGTGAGGCTGGGAAACCGGCCAAACCGCCTCTTCGGGGCCATATGAACCGACCTTCTCACCCCGATCGTTTCTGTCTTTTTGTGGTGCCTCCTTTTACGGCGCATTCCCATTGACACTGTGATGCAGGCGAGAGGGTTCTCCTTCCTCTCCCGTTGCCATTGTTGTGCTGAGACCGGTACCTCTGAGATTGAGACTTGCACCAATCTTTTCCTTGAGAGTGAGACTGTGAGGAGCGTGTGGGAGCACTATGCCAGATATACACATATACCCCTACACACTACAGATAGTTTTTTTGAGCTTCTGAGTTTCTTCTCACATCGCACACACAGTAAAAACGTGGGCTTCCTTATTCCTTGTCTGATCCTTTGGGCCACCTGGACAGAGAGGAATAATGCGAAGCATAGGGATAATATATTTTCTTGTGCTCACATTATTTTGCAGGTTGACAGACACCTCTCTCTCCTCACCGTCCTGGATAGGCTCACGACGAGAGACTGGACAGGGTGTACGCCGCCCCATCGTTTGAGGCCACCACCTTCTCTTCCTGTCCAGCATCCACGACCCAGGACCGTTGTTTGGCTGAAACCCACTTGGGTTAAGCTAAACACTGATGGCGCTTTCGACAGACATACCGGAGCTGCTGGAGAAGGGGGCCTGATTAGGGATCGTGGTGGGGCGCTCATCTCTGCCATCCATGGGCCACTCCGGGCCTCCTCGAGTTATGATGCAGAGATTCAGGCGCTTCAGATTGGTCTTGAGATTGCCGCCTCGATCTCCTCCCATGTCTGGATAGAGATGGATGCTGCGGCTGTCATCACACTTTTGACATCTGGCCACCAGGGCTCATGGCAGATCCAGCACCCTCTTATGCGTATCAGAGACACTCTCCGTTCGATCCATTACCAGGTCTCACACATATTCGGGGAGGGGAATCGGCCCGCTGATTTTCTTGCTAGCACGGGGGTATCTTTACTCCAGAGACGCACCCTTCTCCCTGAGGACATCCCCCTCCGGCTGCGGACGCTCATTCGGATGGACCAGTTAGAGTACCCATCCTTCAGATTCGGTCGACCGCCACCACCGCCCCCTGACTAGATTTGACATTTCGGACCCCATGCCAGGTCGCTCTGACCAGGACGACCTCTTATGAGGATGTGATTTTAGATCCACTTCGGTTATTTTTGTGATCTTGTAGTTTTATTTTATTTTCTCTTCTTTTGATGTTGTTCTATGCATTTTCGACTTGGATGTAGACCATTGACTTTTTAGCCCCTTCTGGGCCATTATATTCACAGGTCGGGGGTGTAGCCTCAACCCTCCATCCCGCCCTGGGATGTTTA